ATCTTTAATGGAATAGAGGACTTTGACAAATATTACTGCTCAAAAGATTGGAGTGAATAGAAACTTTGAAATTTGAGTATAGAAGTTGAAACTAGACAGCAAAATTCCTATGAGCCATTGGAAACAGCTAAATGGTAAGGGATTATAGTCTAATGGGGGTGGGGTGAGAGACAAGTATGCCTTTAGAATCCCATTTTCTCCAAAGGTCACAGATGGAATTAAGTAGCATACTAAAATAGTTAAGTTTTGTTTTATTGGCTTTAAGAGAGGGAAAAAAAAAGGAGGGGAAAAAGGATATACTAGAGGAGAGGTGAGAAAGAAAGGGGAGGAACTTACTATTTCACATGATTGAAGTATATACAAACATGGAAGAAAATGAACCATCCTTCCAGTCTTCCAGTTTTATATCCTCAGCATTATCCTGGGCTCTTTACTCTTCCTTATCCTACATAGCCACGAAGTCATAAATCTTGTGGGTTCTAATTTCAAAATAGCTCTCCTGTCTGACCCTTTCTCTTTTCTCACGCAGCCCCCACTTGAGTGTAGGCTTTAAATTACTGAAAAAAACCTTCTAATTGGTGTAACAACTTCATATTACTCTCTATTTTACACCCTCCTCACAAAGATAAGCACCTTAAGCACAGATCTGCCCATGCAGCTCCCCTACTCAGTCAACTCCAGTGACTCCCTATTACTTGTAGTATCAAATATAAACTCCTCTGTTTAGATTTTAAAGCTTTTCACAAATCTGGCTCCAGATCGTTCTCTACTTCCTGTCAATCCTCCCCCTGTCCACCCACATGATACAGCCCAAATGGCCTCCAATCAACTCCTTAGGCACAATCCTGCATCCCCTTCTCTGCGTCCTTTCACTTCTGTCCTTGCTTCCATCTCATGTTTCTTTCAAGATGCACCATATTTTACATGAAACCTTTTCTGATCCTTTGAGTTCTAGTATTCTCTCTCCCAAACTTTTTTCTAGGTAAATGCTTTATAATTATCTGCTTTATCATTATCATTATCATCATCATTATCATTATTATTATTATTCAATATATACTCACTAGAATTTTAGGGCCACATGAATGAGTATTTTTTTCATTCATTATATTTATACCCCCAGTTTCTAGCATAGTTCCTAGTACGTAGTAGGGACTTAATAAATTCTTGTTGATTGAGTGATTGAATCATAATTATGAATGTAAATGGGATGAACTTACCTATAAAATGGAGGAAGATAGAAAAATGGATTAGAAAACCGACTCTAACCATGTGTTGTTTATTTAAAACCCACATTCACACAGTTAAAAATGAGATGAAGGGAAATTTATTATGCTTCAGGCAAACTTTAAAAAGCAGGGGTAATTTTTATGATCTTAGGTAGGACAACAGTAAAAGTAGGTAGAGTTAAAGAGATAAGTAGAGAAACCATTATGCTTAAAGGCATCATAAGTAGTGAAATAGTATCACTAAAGATATTTATATGAAGGAGAATAGAATCTAAATATTTAAAGGAAAAATTATTTAAAATTATAGGGAGAAATAGCAAATTTCTAATAATTGGGGACATCAATGTATCCTTTTCAGATCTAGGCAAATCTAATGAAAAATAGATAAGAAAGAAGATAAGCTCCTGAACAGGATTTTTAAAAAGTTAGATATGATAGATCTTTGTCAGTTACCAAATGGGAATTAAAAAGATAAACATACTGCTCAGCTATGCATGGTACCTCTGAAAAATCCCTTTGTTGTGGGGTATAACCTCATTAACATATGCTGAAAAGCAGAAATATGAAAACATCCTTTACTGGCCATAATATAGTAAAATTATAATAAAGCAGATGTGGCATAGTGCATTGGGCCCTGGTCTGAGTTAAAATTCTGGCCCACTTTCTGGTTTGGTGGTCCTTGGTAAGTCATTTACATCTCTTTCAGCTTCAGTTTTCTCATCTACAAAATAAAGGGGTTGGACTCAATAGTCTTTTAGTTCCCTTCTAGCTCTAAATTTATAATAATCAGGAAGAAAGTAGTCAGACTTAGAGAATAAATTATTTAGTCTAAAATTTTTATTTTATTTTATTTTAAAATTATTTAAAATCAATAGAACAGATAAAATCACCAAAATAATAAATAATTTAATCAAAGAAAATAATAATGAAACAACGTATTAGTAATAGTAGTTAGCATTTTTGCAGTTCGTTAAGGTTTGGGAAGTACATTAATTATGTTAACTCCTCTGATTCCACAGTCATCCTGTGAGTTAACTGCTATTATAATCCCCGTTTTGCAAATAAGGAAACTGAGACAGAGAGGTTAAGTGACTTGTTCAGTATCATAAGGTAATGTGACAGATGCTTCTCTGAAGCAGTATTTGAACTCATTCTTTCTTACACCACATCCTGTGTTATAACCGTTGTGGCACTTAGCTGCCTTTTAAAGGCTGTTTTGAATTCAGCCAAAACAGTTCCCCAGGGAAAATTTTAGTAAACAAAAAAGCCCCAGGCAACTTTATTTAAAAAAAAAAAAAGGCAAGCAATATGATATCAGTTATACATGTGAAGACATGCAAAACATAATTTCTTACTCATGTTGCCAAAAAATAATAACAACACATGCATACACACAAAGCAAGAAGATAAAGAAAGTGAAAAAAGGATACCTCAATCTGCACTCAGTTCATCGTTCTCTCTCTCTGGAGGTGCATGGAGTTTTCCATCATCAGTCCTTTGGAATTGTCTTGGATCATTGTCTTAATCAGAGTAGCTCAGTCTTTCACTTGAAAGAAGGAGTGCTCACCGAAAGGCAAACTGTTGCTAAAGTTGCTGAGCCAGTGAACCATTAAAAACCATTAGGTTTTAGTAACATGTTTCCTACGGTGGATAAGGAAGACTAAAATGAAACACATTAATTTGCTTGAATTTAAATGAAAGAGCCATTGAAATAGCATTGGGTGTATAGGCAATGAGGCTGGTTTAAAATCCTGGCTCTCCCACTTACAAACCATGTGACCTTAGGCCTCAGTTTCTTCATTTGCAGAAGGAGAAGATTGGACTAGTTGGTCCCTAAGGACCTTCTACCTCAATTTGGGATCAAACCAAAATACCAATTTATATTTAAAAAACTGAACGCTCAATTGCATTGAAGTATTTTCAATCCAAATCTCTTGCTTTTTTGGGGTTAGCAGGAGTGAATCTCACCTGTATTTGTTTTATAAATTATCTATTTCTGGCCCAAGCTGATATGGAAGAATTCTCCCCTTCCTTCTCCTTCTATCTTATAAACTTTGAGGGTAGCATAGAACTACCTTTCCCAACCTGGTTTCATGGATCAAAAGTCACATTAGACTACCTCAGAGATGTAATACTCTCTCCCAGAATAATAACAGGTCCTACAAACTTGGCTATCATGGGGTAGAAATGTTATAAAATAAGTTTTTCTTTTATATGAAATTTAGGTACATAAGGTCAGAACTATTGGATATAAACTCAGTGTATCTACATCATTGGAATTGACATTATATAGGATTCTGGGAATTAAAAATTCTGAATTTTTTTTTCCTTTCTGGTAAGAGGATCGGGATTAAGTGACTTGCCCAGGGTCACACAACTAGTAAGTGTCTGAGGCTGGATTTGAACTCAGGTTATCCTGACTCCAAGGCCAGAGCTCTAACCACTGTGCCACCTAGCTGCTGCCCTAACTTCTTTCAAAACGTAGCTCAAGTGCTGCTTCCTTTAAAGGGTCTTTCTTGCCCTCACCAGTTGTTAATGCCATATCTGTCTCTTGTGCCACTGATTTGTATTGATTTTGTATTTATGATGCATTTATTGTGGTTGTGGTGTGTCCTTCGTTCTCAAAAAGGACCGTGACATCAGGGAGATGATGACATGACTTGCAACTGATTTTGATTTGAGGGAGGGAGGGCTGTGCAAGGTCACCAGCCTCACTTTCTCCTCCAGAGCCATTTGGGTCCAGTGGCCAGATATCGATCAGGAAGACTGGAGATGGCCCAGGATGCAGTGGGAGACCTTGGCCCTTTTAAGCTAAGGTCTTTTCAGGTTCTCTCTTTGAGAAGGCAAGGCCTATGCGGTGAATTGGCCTCTTTACGAAGCAAGTCAAGGGATAGCCCCTTTAATTAAAAAAAAAAAAATCAAACTGGGAGGGGAAGACCCCCAGGATTGCTAGCCAAAAGAAAAACAGTTACTATTTACATTTACTCCGATCCTGGAGGACCCAAAAAATAACAGTAAGTGGTGGTTGGGCAGGGACCAATCCATGTCCAATCCATGAGATCTATAGTGAATTGGGTTTAAGGCTTGATCATTGAAAAGAAATCTAGCCAGTAAACCCCAAGTTAACTAGGTAGCTTTTGGCCATCAAAATTTCACCAAATATGTTGTATCCTTTCAATAAAATTCTAAGTCCCTTGGACATTGGTTTAGTTTCACTTTTCTTTTTGTATTCTTAGCACCTAGTTCAGTGTTTGTCGCAACTGACACAACTGAACAACAAACAGCTATACAGTGTTGGGGACAGCTAGGTGGTGCAGTAGGTAAGAGTGCTGGGCCTTGAGTCAGGAAAGCTCCTCCACTTGAGTTCAAATTTGGCCTCAGACACTGTGTGACCCGGAGCAAATCACTTATCCCTGTTTGCCTCAGTTTCCTCATGTGTAAAATAAGCCCGAGGAGGAATTGCCATTCTAGTACCTTTGCCGAGAAAACCGCGAAAGGGGTCACAAAGATTCAGACAGAACTGAAAAATGATTAAACAACAGGCGCATGATAAAAAGCTTGATGATTAATTGAAAAATCAGAATAGAATCGAACATAGAATTGATTATAAGAGATAACAGTCTATTAATTGGTCTTCTCATCTCAAATCCCTTCCCTACTTCAGTACACCTCCTACAAGATGCCTTTTCCTAAAGCACAATTTGTCCTTGTCATATCCCACGGTGCAGTGCTCTTTCAACATACCATTTTGCCTTTTTTCTGTACCCATAGGGGAAAAACTATAAAACTATGTTCTGTTGCACAATGGGCCAGAAAGGAGAGAAACCTTAGTTGGAAGAAGCAAGGGGAGAAATCTCTAGAACCAATGGAAGAATAGAAAGAAGGTGTGAGGAGCCACCTGGGACTGACAAGTGTTGCCTGGGGGTTATATCAGCAAAAGTTCCTGATCAACACAAGTGGCAAAGATCCACCTCCCTTGACAGCTGGTGGGAACAAGGTGAGATGTGTTCCTGACTTTGCATTTGGTAATTCTGAAGGAGTTTCCGCATTGTAATTCAGGGTAATTGGGCTCTGTAGTACAGTAACATACTTAAGCTATGAGTAGTCTGGATCGTTTGGTTGGATACTTCAGCCACAGTTTTTGGATTGCAAGAGATATAACCACCATTTCTTTCTCTATGTGTTTTTAGAGAAAGTCCTTTCTGATTTAGAAATAATTGATTTAAAAGTGCACTTTAAAATTTAGAAACTGTTTATTGGCATGTTTTCTACTTTCAAATTTAGAAGCCCTTGAGCATATATAAAGATATTTAAATTTTTTTCTTGTTAAATGTTTTATTGATGTTTTCTCTTTCTTTTTTTTTTGCATCATTCTGACTTCCCAATGACAACTTCCACTCTACCCTGCAGTAGTACCATCTCTTATAACAGATAAGCATAGTCAAGCAAAACATCAGTGTCTGAAAATGCATGTCCCATCTATAGTGTACCACCTCACTGCCCAGAGGCACGTTTACCATTAGTCTTCTGAAGGCACTGCATTAATAAGACTTCTAAAGTCTATGAAGGTGTTTTAAAATGTTAGATGTTTGAACATTTTAACATGTTTAGAACATTTTGTTAAAGAAATTAAACTTTTTACATATAGAAGTTCTCTGGAGATTATCATTTCAGTTGTTGAGATATTGCTTTGAAATCCAAGATACCCAAGTTGTTTAGTATTGAAATAGAGACCAAGATAAGTGTCAATAAAAATCATTTTCTGAAATGGCCTCATTTTCTGATGGTTGATAGACATACTTTTAACTAAGGTAGTTGGCTTTTAAGTACACTAGAATATATTCAGTGAATGTGCTTTTTTTTTTATTCTTTACAGCTTCATTTCTTCCAAATAGTATAAATTTATTTTTCGTACTGTAGTAATAGGGACCTTTGAGTTCATTGGTATAGGAAGTTCCTGGTGAAGAACTTAATGTACCATTGTAAGTTGACATCTTCTTTGTAACTTACCATGTTAGAGAGCTGCTTAAAATATTGAGAGATTAAGTGAGTTGCCTAGGGTCTCATACACAATGTGTCTTGGCAAGACTTGAATCCAAGTCTTGACTCTGAGGCTATTATACCATTCTTGCCTTTGATTTCCTTCTGTATGTAGTTTTTTTTTCTTTTAATTTTTTTTTCCGGTGTATATATCTATTTCCTTTTTCTTTGTTCACTTTCAGGTATGACCTAGCAATGATACAACTGGGTCAGTACTGGTACTCTTTAGTAATTTTTTAATGTATCATTTGAAATTACTTTCCAGGATGGTTGCATACCTTCATAGGTCCATCAACAATAAATACATCAATGTGCTTGTTTTCCTACATCCCTGCCAGCAGTTATTATTTTCTTTGTTGTCATCTTTGCCACTCTGATGAGTGTAAGATGAAATCTCAGAATTGCTTTAATTTGTATTTCTCTAAGTAGTAGTAATTTGAAGCATTTTTTCATATGACTAGAGATACCCTGACAGTTATTCCCAAGACAATTGTGTTTATATCCTTAGACTATTTATCAGTGGAGGAAATGACTCCTATTCTTATAAATTTGAATAAGTTCCTCATGTAGTTTGGAAATGGACCATTATCAGAGAAACTTGCTGCAAATAATGTTATCAGTTATTTTTTTTTCCCTTTTAATCTTAGCTTTATTGGATTTGTTTCTGCAAAAACTTTCCAATTTTATGGATTCAGAATTATATACTTTATCTTCTGTGATCCTCACTGTAACTTCATTTAAACTTTCATCCAGTCCATAAATCTGATAAGTAATTTTTTCCCCTAACATCTCATCTTTGAGATTATCTTTGTATAAGGTGAAATTGAAGTCTTTTCTGCTTATCTAATATTATGGAACTTGATACTTTGTTTCCTTTGTGTTGTAACTGTCTGTCCCACTGATTGGATCTCTCATATTCATTCTTAAGCCCTCTTTACTTTTATTGACTTGTATGAGATTTTGATGATTGTTAGTTTACTGATAATGAGATGGGAAACAAAATTTCATTGAAACAAAAAAAATCAAAACTTTCTAATATTGAAATAGAGAAAGATCAGTGTCAAAAAAGAATCCTTTCCTGAAATGGCCTCACATTTAAGGTTATGATTGTTAGGTTTGTGTTCTCTTTGATTTGTTTCTTTTGTATTGATTTTTATGTCTTTTCTCTGTGAAGTCAGCATTTTTTCCTTATGATTACTGTTGTTTATACTACTGTATTACTAGTTCTTTCCAATGAACTTTCCTATTCCCCCACCATATTCTCATTTTATCTGTCCCATCTCATGTTCTTTGATTTTACTAACATTCTTAATTTTTAATTGAAAAAAATTTAATCCCTTCTTTTGATTCTTTGTTTACTCAGTTAATAAGTGGTTCAAAAAACCTTCCTTTCCTCCCCTGTCTTATAAGTAATAGTCCTTTTGTCACATGCTTTTCTGAGAAGTTTTCATTTGTGGTGTTCTCATTATTTCTCTTCCTTTGTATTTTATTCTCTGATTCATGACCTATACACTTTTGAAGTACCATCCTCACACTTAGAAATGTAAATTAATGAAAAGAAGCTGCATTCCTAGTAGAAACTCCGACTCTCAAGTCATTGGACCAAGGCCAACATCCTGCCCTTTTCACTAATGAGGCCAGGTTATCCTATCTCTGATTCTGTGTGCTCCCTATTATTCTAAGGCAGGGGTGAGGAACCTGTGGCCTTGAGAGGCCACATGTGGCATTCTACATCTTAAGGTGTGGCCTTTTGACCAAGTCCAAATTTTACAGAACAAATCGTTTTAATAAAGGGATTTATTCTGTGGGGTTTGGATTCATTCAAAAGGGGGGCTCACTTGAGGACGTAGAGGGTCACATGGGGCCTCAAGTCTGCAGGTTCCCCACCCGTGGTCTAGGGTGCTGGCTACTCTCTCCTTGAATGGGGTGTAGCTGTAGAAGATATGCCTTTCTCTGACAAGATGGTCTCCAAATGGCAAATTCTTACCAGATGAAATCCATTAAAAGGTCTTGGTGTCTTTCCATATACATGTATATCTCTTCCGTCACGGTAATGATCCCCTTCCATCCCAATTTCTCTGCGCCATTGCTTTTTCCTATTCTTCCACAGCTCCTTCTATTGTTGAGAAACTAAAGAAATTATCCCTTTATTATTCACATGTGGACTTGCTGTGAGTAGACATCTAGCTCACAACCTCATTCCCATGACTCTCTGCTGTCTTAATACTCCCACAAAAGATACCGATTAATTTATAGGGAATCACAGCATTTACTCTATGGAATATTATTGTAGGTCTTATAAGATCTTATAAAGGCCATTGAGTCCAAATCCCTCATTTTACAGATCAGAAAACTAAGACCCAGAGAGGTTAAGTGATTTGCCCAAGGTCACAAAGCTACATCTGAAGTAAGATTTGACCCATTATACAGTCTTTCTTTTTCCTCCCTTTCTCCTGATTCTTTTAATTAACTTTAAATCTTTAGTCCCTAAGGTCCTTTTTGTTCATTGATGAGCTTTCTTATTTCTTCTGACCATCTGTCAGGTCAATTCTCTCTCTCTTTTTTTAAACATGAGAGAATGACTAAGCAGTAACATAATGCTACTCTTTAGTCATTTCTTGCTAATTATACTTACTTATCTTCATTGTATTTCTGACATTTGGGAGTATTTTAAAGTTGAAAATCTCTTTTTTAAAAAAGAATTCCACAAGTGCCCCTCTTGTTGAAATTCCATCTTTTTCATATATGATTATTAGGCCCATTTTGCAGTGTATGTTATTTTGAGTTGTAGTTATAATATACTATTATTTATATATTTTATGTATTTATGTATATAAATATTTTTTATATATGTAGTATACTATTTTTTCCCTCTGATTTTTCTTGACTATACAGTAATACCTGGCTGCTTGCAAAAGTTACTTGTCATTGAAATTGTGAGACTTAATCACTATATGTTTTGGAATTTAAAAATATTCTTTTTTCAAGTGATAATAGAAATTTTGGGCATTTTTCTTGTATTAGTGTTTTCAATATGGTATTCAATTTTTTTATTTGTTAGATTTATCTTTGATGCTTAAGTTATCTCTGCACATGCTGTTTTCAAGGTCAGTTACTTTGGCTTGTGTAGAACTCATGTTATTTCAATGTTGTTGCTTTTTGTTTCTCATCAGCAAATCCTTCCACTTCTGTATTTTTGTGTTTCAAATGTTTCATTTTTTTCTCTCTCTGAGCCTCTAGTTCTTGAGAGAATGTTTATTGTGTCCTCTAAGCACTGTAGTCTGTTGCCATTTTTTATTTCTAGTTTTATTTTGAGTGTTTTTAGTTTTCTACCTAATTTCACTCTGAGTATTTCTTATAATAGTTCTGTTTCTCTTTTGAATCATTATACAGTTTCTCGCTGCTGTTCAGTGGTCCCTGGAGAGTCTGTAGAATTATCTTTTTTATCAGGAAATTTTGTTTCACTTTTCTTCAGTGTAACTGTTCATAGTGTCTTGGCCCCTTTTTTCAGTTTTCTACTCATTCTTCCTTTTGTCTTTATGATCCTCTCTGTTGGTTTATTGCTTGTTATTTAGGCTTCTGCCCTTTCTTTCAACCTTTTTCTTATAATTCCAGCCACTTGAATGACTCACAGATCTTTGAGACTGGGTAGCCTAGGAAAGCACTTAACAAACACTTTTTGCTTTGTTTCCTCATCTGTAAAATGGGGATAATAATTGCACCTACCTCCCAGGGTTGTTGTGAGGATCTAATGAGATAATAATTGTAAAGTGCTTAGCGCAGTGTCTGGCACATAGTAAGTTCTATTTAAATGTTAGTTGTTGTTATTATTATTATTCTCAGCTTCTTCTTTGGCATTTTGGAAGAGAGGATTGGCCGCATCTGGGTTTCTAGTCTGCTTTTCCTTGGGCAAGAAGCTCTGGCTCTTTAGGCATTGGGCTTTGTTCTGCCTGAATC